TTTTATTTATAATATATAATATATATAAACGATTGCAAAATTTCAACGTCCTCGACTACACGTGGCAATTTGACATTTCGCTATTTTGGATTTTAGCGAGGACCATAGAAGTTGACGCACACGATTTGCTTTCTTGGACCACATAAAACGAGGCGGCGGGCCGCACCTGGCCCCCGGGCCTTTGGTTTGACACCGGTGGTTTCGAACATTGCAGTTTTTCTGTAGTTTTGAAAAAAAATTTGAGTGAATAGAGTGTTCATCTGTATAACTTTCATTCCAACCTACATTCTTCTTGATTTATTTGTTTATATTTTAAGATCCGTTATTTTGAATGTAGATAGCTTGCTAGCTAGCCGGCTACAAATGCTCCGGGTTTTTGTTCGTCGCTCAGGAAGTTTTCTGTTGCGATGCAGGATTCAATTTGATCCGCTTTGATAACCACCAGCTGTCCATGAGAACACACACATGCAAATCCACCATGATAAGACATACCGCCGCCAGACTTGTGTGGTATATGAATGTGCGTTCAATTTGCTCCAGTGTGCCCCGTTGCGCCGGATGAAAGGATAAAACATAAAAAGCATGCGAGTCTGTAACATTGAGCTCATTGTTTAGGAGAGGAAACGCGAACGCCACGACACTCGATGTCTTACAACCCATCACGGACAGAAAGAAAATAAATCAAACTCGGACGTGGCAGAAAAGTTCCAGTGAAACGACGAAGCTTCTTACAAGTCGTGCCGTTGTGTTGCCGTCATGACGTGAAAATAGCGCCGCGCGCGTCGGTGGCGTTTGTTTTACGCAGTGGGCAACCGTCGACGTAAATCCAAACAAGAAGGCACTCGCGCCTAACTCGATGAAATTCCGTACTGTGACTTTTGAAGTGGATGTTTTTTTGGAGTGCCTGCCCCATGCGGCAAATGGAAAAATCAAAACAAGTATTTGTCGTGTTTTGTAAAGAAGTCATTCTAAATTATGTCCCTCCTATTGACGGTGTGGCCGATCAAACAATGATCCCCAAAGGTCCGTGCAAAGATCAAGAGTCAACTTTCAACAGATGGCCGGACTCCACATGTCTGAAACGCGACCGTCGCTATTTGAAAGACAGTTTAGTCAGTCGTTGGTTCCCCTCTGGCCTGGCATGCATATAACCCCAGCTGTTACCATGAGATCAAACCATTACCCCCCGCAACAAAAAAAAAAAAATAGTTTAAACCATGAGTGTCAAGCATACGGCCCGCGGGCCGGAACCGGCCCCCAAGGAGGTTCGATCCGGCCCGCGGGATCATTTAAAAGTGAAAGAAAAAAAATGCATTAAAGACACAGAATGAATATTTTAAATAAAATGCAATTCGTGGATTATCCGCTAAGGGGGCGCACATTGTTTTGATCACAGTAGAAGACAACATTGTTTTGATCGGGGGAAGAAAACAGCAGTCTCAGTCTGTCACCGAGATAGACCCAACGCAACAAATGATATGAAAGCGCCAGTCAATGTTTCTTGAGACCAAAACAAAGGAAAGAGACGAGATTTTGGTGATTCATAGCACAGTATGGTATAATGTTAATGGTTCGGCCCACTTGACATCTACCGAGTCCGTATGTGGCCCACAATGTGAAATGAGTTTGACACCCCTGGTTTAAACTGTAAATACATCACAAACTGTGACAAGGGATTTAATGATAAAAAAAAAAATATTTGGCAAAGACAATTCACGAGCAGCCCAGGCTGCACTTGACTCCAGTCCGTTTGTATAAGGCCCCCCCCTTGCCTTATAGAAACTTTGGTGCGTTCTTGTGGCATCTTAGATGATTACAGAAAGCTCCAAAATGGGATTTTTCAACCAATAGCGGAAGATGAAGATAAGCGAGAAATAAAACTAGATACAAGACAAGACTGAGATGACAGCCTACCTTAGTGGGAGACCTGACACACGGGGGAAGAAGAGACTTTTGTAGTTCAGGAAGGTCCCGATGGTAGCTCCAGATTCCCTTTCTTTACCAATGCCATCAATAAATTGCCGAATGAGAATATCCCCGAAAAAAAAATAGATCGACGTCAGCGGCACTGATCACCCGCCGCAATTGCAGACCGCCGGGACCATGAGACTTGATAGGATGCGTTCGGGTGCGGTGTGCGCTAACGCAAAACGATATCCGATTCAAAACGCCCACGCGGAGACACTCGGTCGTCCTTTACGTGTCGTGCCCACATCAGGTTGGGCGCGCAATCGGAGCGTTACGGCTGGAATGGGATTGCGACGCGAAATCACGGGCGACGACATTTCATTCGGCCGAGGGTTTTCTCGACGGCAGCGACGTTGAGATCGGGTTCGACAAAGAAGCGTGTTTTGCGACGCATGAGCTCTCGGCGGAATTGGACAAAGGGTCAGACCGAAGCGAAGCCGTTGTTTTCGTTTAATAAGGCAAGCAGGAAGGCCCTGTTGTCGGTCCTAACCCCTCGTCTCGCGTCTTGACAGGGGGGGGGGGGAGTGTGAAATGCTGTTGCTTTTCACCCACGCCGAGATGGCTCGAATGGACGCGGCGGGCTCAAAGGCAGCTCGAGGGAGCGTTAGCACGGCAAATGTGATTCCAGCTGCCCCACCGTGTCATCCCGGCCAAAGCCATCTTAGACCTTGAAAGAAGTGGACTCTCTGCTGTCGGGCACTTGGCGCCACGTATCAAGTTACAGGTCCATTGTTGATGAGGTGAAATTAAACGGCAGCTGTTATGGTGTTTGTCTCTGTCAGGACTGTTTAGATCCGCGATGTCTTCGTCCCGGGTGAGTGTCGTCAAGTTGAGAAAATGCGAGGCCTTGAATGTGGTCACTCTTGTTGGTGCCAATCCATTCAAAGGTCCTCACAAGTGTCGCATCGGGACGCCTTTGTGAGCAAATCCAGCGTTGACTGATTAAAAAGCTTTAAACGCGCCACAGGCTCCCCCGAAGCGGCTAAGATCTCGGCGATTACGCTGCCGACAGTTATCCGGGGGGGGAACAGCTGCACGTGGTTATCAATTGAGACCATCGAAACAGATGGCAGGGCTCTCTGGATGTGAGCTTTTAACGACGTGACAAGGAACGAGGGATCTTTTTGGGCCAATACGGTACACGTCGTGCATCGTCTTAAGTCTTTGGTACTTCAAACTGCAAACGCGGCCACCGCAGGCAAGTTCCGAGAAGTTGGCGGATCTTCGGCAGGTACTGAATACGCCCCCTGTCCCGCCCCCTTTGCCGTGATTGCTTTGTGAAATCGAGACTATTAAGAAACAATCTCGGAGTCAATCCAAACTTTCACGCCGCAGTTCCAGGACCGCGATACTCCGTTCTTTCACGGGTACCCCTCCAGACTCGGTTACGGCT